GCTCACCGCCTGTGTCCTCTGAGGGCATGCTATGACTTATCGTACGAAGTTTCTCATTCCTGCGCTGGGCTCTTCACCTTGAAATCTTGGCAGAGCAGCAAAGGGATGGAAATCTTGGCAGAGGAAAGAACCCGCGTATCAACCACACAACAAGTACAGCCTGCTCAGACTTTGGCTTCCCTTCGTCTTTGCTGCTCTGGTGGTGCTAATGTGACTTGGTGCAAAGAGATTTGTGAGTGTGACGGGGGCAGGGCCTTGGTGGGGCTGAGACTCAAGGAGCTGTTCTCTGTGCCTGAGAAATCACACGGATCTTGTTTTGTTTTGTCTTTTTGTTTTTGAAACAAGGCAGCACTGCCCTGCAGAGTCCTGCCATTCATATGAGAGCAAAATCTGAGGCTAAGAGGCTCTTGGGAGGGGCAGCTCAGGCCCCTGCTGTGGATGGCAAACAGCAGCGCTGCAAGATGAGGATCAAGAGGGCGCCAGGCGGGCCAGCAGCTGATTCTGTCTCCAGAGCATCCTTCTGCATCTCTGGTTAGTGGTGCCACGAGGGCCACCAAGCAGAGGGTGTCCAGCGGAAAATTTCCAGCTCCAGTCATTTTAACGAGAGAGGAATTCTTGCCTCTCATGTGGTTTGGAGGTTTCCAGGGAGAAAGGGAAAAAGGAAAGAAAGTACTTCAATCCCCTGTTAGCCTGGATGGCGGTGGGTGGGTGATGGGAGCTGAGAGGTGACCCAGATAACCCCGGTTTGAATGCCTAAGTATCAGAAATCTCAGGACAGATTGAGCCCACCAGCATTTTGGCTTTCTCCACAGAAAATGTGCTCCTATTTATGATGCTGACACAGTCAACTTACGAAGATGGATCAGAAGAAAAAGCCCATAAAGCTGTTGGTTTCAGATTAAAAAAAAAAAGGAACTCTGATTCACAACTATTAGCTTAATGGCAACAAATGCCATTTTCTGTGATCATGCTTTCCCTGAAATTCTCGCTGCTAGAAGGGAAAAAGAAAGCCCATGGCTTTCACTTATTCATTCGACAGCCGTTCTGTGAGCAGCTGCTACGTGCGGGCGCCATGCTAGCTGCCGGGGTATGGGGATCAAGAAGACAGCTCTTGTCTTCCTGGAGCTCAATATGCAGCCGTGAGCTAGCGTGAGCTAGCATGATCTAGAAGCCAGACCAGAACTCTGCTGCCAGCGAGCAGGGAACAGGGCACGTAGAAAAGCCCCCAGAGGGAACGTCAGGTTTGAACTGAAGTCTAAAGAGGCGTAACTGGAAGCTTCCCAACTGAGAGGCACGGGGGTGAGGAGGGCCGGAGAGCGGAGAAGGCAGAGGGCCATGCTAAGGGACCCGGCTTCCCCCCTGGCCAGTGAAGGGTTTTAAGCAGAAAACGACACGGTCAGATTTCATTTTAGGAGGAAACTCTTATGGTGGGGAGAAGGATGTTAATTACTTGGTGCACGGAGGAGAGATTTATTTGGAAATGGCTTGCCTTCTGTATCGGTTATTTCCCTTCCTCTTAGTCCCTGGCAACGACACCCAACCAGACAGGCTAGGACAGTGCTTCTCTCTCTCCTGGTGGGTTCATACTGGATTCTGGAAGTTGAATGATGGTGCGGTTGGGTCACAAGGGAGTCCCATGAAGAAGACTTTTCCTATGATTTTTTTCGCAGGGTCCCAACTATGCCTTTTCCTTTGCGGTCTAACTGCCAGAGTGAGTGAGAAAAAATTCTCCCTGCAAGGTAGGCTGCCAGTCCTCTGGCAAGTCATGCCTGACAAACAGTGTGCAGGGCTGAGACCTCTGGGGCCCCTTTCTTCACATCCGTTAAGTAACCATAAGGCAGGCAGGGGTGACTCAGTGTGAGAGCTCAAACTAGACTTCGTTCATCTCCAATGACCTTTTCCTCAAGGGCGGGGTTTCCTAGCTTTGGCATAATGACATTTGAGGCCAGATAATTCTTTGTTGTGGGGGAGGGGTGCTGTCCTGTTCCTTATAGGATTTGGTTAGTGGCTGGTAGCACCCCCAAGTTGTGACGGCCAAAAACGTTCTCATGGGGCAAGATCACCCCCAGGCGAAAGCCATGGCTCTTAGAGGCAGTTTTCCATTCTCATCTTACTGGATTGCTCAGCAGCATTCAGCAAACTGATCTCCCACTTCTCTTGGAACCTGCATTCCTTGGCGCACTCTCCTTGTTTTCCTTCTAACTGCCTGGCCAGTTCTTTGTAGGTTCCTGGAGCTTCCCCATCCTCCTCCTGATCTCCAAATACTGACTTTTTTGCTTGGTCCCGAATCGCTCTCCCATTATACTGTATGCTTTCTCCCTCATTCATCCTCAGAATCTTAAATTCGTCTATTTGTCAAATACTCCCCAATTTGTCTCCAAGCCCAGATTCCTTGTCTAAGCTCCAGACTCATTTCTGTTTGTTCTACATGGCTCATTGGCATCACAGAATCCGCCCATCTTTCTCCAAAATCCCTTCCTCTTCTCACCCCCACCTATCTGTTGTCCAAGCCATAAACCCTAAGGTCATCCCGACTCTTCCTTTTCTCTCATCTTCATATCTGGTCCATGACCAATCCCTGTCAATTCCATCTTCAACATATTCCTCAAAACCACCTGCTCTCAGCTCTCCAGTTCAAACTACCATAGAACCTAAATAACCAACAGTGTAGATAAGTCCGATGACCTCAGTGGTTTCCTGACATCCACTCTGCTCCCACTCAGTCCATTCTCCATCCAGAGCTACTTTCAAAAGCACAAATCAGATCACATGATGCCCAGGTTTAATTTCTTCCAAAGCATTCCACTGTATAAACTCTGAGTGCATTCTACTGTACTTGAATAAAATCTAAGTGTCTCAGCATGGCCCCATCCTCCTATCCAACCTCCCCTTGTGTCATTTTTCCTTTTGTTTCTGCTGCTGCCGCCATGCTGGCCTTCTTTTGCCTCCTCACATGTGTCACTTTGGGACCCCCGCACATGCTGTCACCTTCACCGGGAGCACTGTTCCCTAGCTCTTTTCATCCTATGGGCCCCAGCGTGTCATCTCTTCCTGGACATCGCTCCTAATCTCATCCTCTTAAATTCGGTTTCCCTATCACGGTCTCTCCCTGCCTGCTTCCTTATGGCACGTGTGACTTCTAACTCTGTATGTACTCATGTGATTATCTCTTTATTGTTTAGCTCCCCCCTGATAGATTGGAAGTGTCCTGGAGAAGAGACCCTCAGTGTCTCTTCTGCTCAAAGCCATGTCACCATCTAAATATTGTCTGTGACACTCAAGAGATTACTCAGAACATATTTACTGGATGAATGACTATTCACCCCTCATTTCCTTGGTCAGACTGCATCTAGAAAAGAATACTTTATGACCCAGGAAAATGAATGACTGCGAAGCATGAAAAAATTCTCCTCGAATATCTGTGTAAGTGAAAAGAAGCTTCTGGTGGTGTTTCTTGGAAGTATAAAAGCAAAGCACTGGGAGATGAGTCAGGCACCCAACGACCAGAAATGAGACTTGTTGATTTCATCATCAGTATTTCATACTCGTCCTAAGACTTTCCACCGAATCAGGAGGAAACTCCCTGAGTGCCAGGCAGGACCACACCAAAGCTATCTAAGGGGAAGAGCTGCAAGTAGTTCAGAGTTTTCTGGCAACACTGCCTTTCTAGAAGGCCTGTGCTCCCAAAGAGGCAAGGACGTCGGGGTAAGACAGCAGACTCCCAGGGCCAAGGAGCCACGGAGTGAGGGGGCAGCAGCTCCACCCAGTGCATTATGATGGTTTGCACACCATCAAAGCCTTCTTCTTGAGGAGGACCACAGTTATGCAGACAGCATTTTACTTTGTTTCTCTGAAAATTCACGAGTGTGCCTGGCTGCAGAGTGTAATGTAAATCGATGACATTCAAAAGCTCAACCTTTGAGTCACACTGAGAGTAATTCACATCGGCCTCTCCCAGTCTTTGAAGGGACGGCAGCTGCAGAGCACACGCCTGCAATTAAGCAGCTAAGCCTTTGCTAAGATCAGGTTAGACTTTGATATCCAAACGAATCCCAAAATGTGGAGACAAAAAAACCTGAACCACATTGGGAGCCCAGTGTGTGTCACGGTAGAATTAATTTTTACTGGGTTTATTTATTATGTCTTAAATCAGCCCTCGGGAATTTGAGCGAAGAGTTTTAAGGTCCATGTGTTACAGCTCAAGGACGAGACTCGAGCCCTGAGTCCAAACATGCTGTGATTGGCTGCATGTTGCTAAACAGCAAAAATAGCCCAGCAACTGTTGTCCTTGTAGGGCTGGGACGTTATTTACAAGGGGGTCACCCAAGTTCCGTCAGCAGCCGTTAATAAAATACTAACAGGATATAAATGGTGACTTGCACCAACGGTAAAATAAAAAGGTTGCACTGAGGCAAACAGGAGATCCTAGTAGGTGGAAGACTTAGAGAAAGATATTCTCTTAAATTTAGTCTCAGTGAAGATGAAAAAGAAGAGAGTTTCACGAAGGCACTTCCTGTTTTGAGAGAACGGTTCTGTGCAGACATGAGCTGTCCAAGTGTCAATATTCACCCAAGGAGGATTGATTGGGCATCTTTTTTGTGTTAGACCCCAAAGTTACAAATAAAACCCATCCTCTGCAGAGGGGAAGGCAGGCTGGGCAGAGACCTGGCCAAACAGGAAGCTGGAGGTGGCTGCTGTATTTTAGGGAGGCCAGGGTGTTGGGTGGTTCAGCCTTGTGAATATTTCACGGCCCAGAATGGTGGCAGAGCTGGGGAGACAGGAAGACGAAATTGAAATTGAGTGGCTGCCGGGGTTAACAACGGGCCCTGAGAAGTAGGGACTTAATTTTGAGACTCACAGTAAAGAATCCAGCAAGATGTGAAACCAAATTGAATCAACACAAAGACATATGGAAGCCTCCCAGGTCAGGGCAGACTTAATAAATGTTTGTTGAATGAATGAATGACTCTCTCCCACATGTCACCCCAGCTATCGCTCACCTCAGATTCTTTGTAGTAACGTTCTGGAATTTCATCGCAGGCAATATCGATAAAGCAAACTTCTCTCTCCAGGTCTTTGGCTTCATTGTCAAAAATCTGAAAGAGCAGAGCAACATATCAAAGGTTAGTGATAGCAGGTGAGATCGTCAAGGTGCCCACGGGTTGGCCCAACGGTGCTTGAGGCGGAATAACACCCCACAGAGCATCTTCACATGGCTCGGTGCCTCTGGCTAGAGCTTTCCGCCTGCCTCAGAATGTGCAAGAATCATGAGAAGCTTTTATTCATCGCTTACATTTTGTCACATCAGAGGCAGGTGTAGCATCAATCACCGCTTGGTGAGGGAAGAAGAAAAAGCAGGCTGTTTTTAGAAATTCAAGAGTGAAGAAATAAATCTCTTCCAAAAATGGTCTGCTGATTTTTGGCAGCTCATCTGAACGGGGGGAGGGAAGAGGCTAGAAAGGGTCTGGCTGGATATGAGACAAAAAGCAGTAATATAGCCCGAGATTTAGAGAAAAAAAATGTGGGTTTTTTTTTTCATTAAAACGTTTACATATATTTAATTTCAGAAATAATACATGCCCATCGCAGAAAATACAGATAAACAAAAAGAAGAAAATAAAGATCGTCCATAACCCCATTATCCAGTGTATTATTCTTGATCATTTAAGAGCACGATGTCCTTGGTGCCCAGAGTGGTAAGAAGGTAGAGCCTGAAGAGATACTGAGATGGCTTCCTGCCAATCTATGCCAGGTTCCATTGGCCCAGAATGTCCATCGCTTGCAAAAAAATATGTAAGACAGCCATACATATAGATACACATTTCCGTGGAAAGATTAAGTTTCTCCAGTTTTTCCCGTTAACCATTTTTTTCTGATCTAAAGGGTTGATCTTCCTGGTCCTTCTGAAGGATAGTAAACAGATTAAGTTTGCAAAATCACTTCATCCTTGGAGACAGTCTTAACTGTATCCCTAGCTCACTGTTCAGCAGGGGAATAAACTGGGGAGTCATCCACTAGGATTTAATTAAATCTGACTCTCTTGAAGAGAATGAAATATTTTGGAAGAACAGGGTGGCTGATGCCTAAGAATGCTGTCTGGATACAAATTTGGTGCCTGTTAACAACACAATCTCCCACGGGACAGCATCTGCAGGACTCTTAACACGTTAAACTCTCCCTGGTTTGGTTCTTGGGTTGAAACTATTAGTCCGTTCCAAACGCCTTCTGAATAATATTTGTGCTGGTATTTATCTTCCTAGTCTGCTGTTTGTTCTGTCCCCTATTTTCTTCTGAAATGGTGGGAGACAGGACCCTTCAGATTTGTTCAAGGAGATTAACTCCCCATTCTGACCTGAGGTGGCCACTGCATTTTCCTTACAGGCAGAGAAAAACTGGCTCTTGGATCAGCTCTGATTCCTTCCTCAGCCACTTGAAATCAAACGCTTGGGGACACTCTCAGTGTTTGGGAGGGACGCGTAGATTGCTTTGAAATGAAATGGAGAGATAGTGGGAAACCAAGTTCGAGTCTGAGTGGAGAAACACATTGTGAAATGAAACACTGGGTCTCAGGTGGTTTGTGTGAGTGTTTTTCTCTCTCTCTCTCTGGCATGAGTCTCTTTTAAGTGTGTGCAAGAGAAGATATGTGCCTCGTTAAGAAAACAAAACAGAATGGAACACCCCCGAGGGAAATGAACTTCTAGACGGTAAATTACAAGCGAAGTTAGAGAGGTTTGACATTTATTGGTAGTAAAATTTACGGCACTGAAAGAAGGGGAAGTACAACAGGGGTCAAGGAAGTTATTGACTGATTAGGTAGCTTTGTCTGATTTAATTCAGATACTTTTGGATCACCCATTGTCGCATTAGTACTTTATTGCCTTTCAGCTCCTGATTCACCCTTGAGTCTCTGCTCTGAGATGGCAGACTGGACCCTGTGAGCACCTCACTACAGCGAGTGTGTCATTAGGCCGTGGCTTAGAGGGACCCTGCAGGGAGAAGGGGGCTTCTCTTTCTGGTTTGGATCTTATTCCTGCTGCAGAATCTGTCAGTGGAGGGGACACTCAGTGGTGCTCTGTCCAAGCTGCATGCCCAGGGGGCATGGTTGCTTGGTGACCTTGGAGTCCTGGCCTTCCCCGTGGCCCTTCCGATGTAGACACCATGCGCTCCAGGCCTTGCATTGCCAGTGGCGCCCTGACTCTGTGTACCTGCCCACCAGTCTCATCTCACCTGTACCCAGAGGACTGATTTCTGCTGCCCAGCAACTGTGGACCAGCTCTGGTCCAGGAAACCAAGCAAACTTCTCTGCCATCCAGTGGGCTACAACCACAACTTCTGCAAGGAAGCCTGGGCCCCGGCCATAGAGGTGGACCCTTCCAAGTTTGTTCCTCCTTGTGTACACTCCCTCAGCCTTAGGTAACCTTTAGATTTCTCTTTACAGTTTTATAGTTACTCCTGTCAAAGTTTAATAATTCCTTACGTTACACTCTCCCTGTTCAAATTATTGTGTGATTTATGCTTCCTGATTGGGCCCCAACTAAAACACCCATTGCATGCAAAATGGTGCCCTTGGCTTTTGTGGCCGCATAGATTAGGAGGGCTGAGTTCCTGCCCTTAAGGAGTTCCTGCCCACGTAGTGGGAAGCTAGTCTCAAAAATCCAAGGTGGAATAAAGTATTTGCTATAAAACAAAGAACAGACTGTAAAGCTAGGGAGAGGAGTCATTTAGGTTGACTCAACAACTACATGATCAGGATAGTATTATTATTTACAATTTTCAGGTGAGAAAAGGCTCAAAGAAGTAAAGAGCTTTGCCCACGGTCACACAGCCAGTCAGCTGAGAAGTTCAGATTCAGGGCAAGTCTCCAGGCTTCACAACCAGCCTCCTCCAGTGATAAAAGGCTGCCTCTTGGCACCCAATCGAGAAGATAAATATCAATCAAAACTGCTTCCTAATTTTTTTCCAGAAAGAAGAAATTGGAATCTGGTTCTCCTCCTGCTACCTAGAAATGTACGTCCTGAGCAGCTGTCATTGGGAACTCCCCAAAGACTTGGAGCTTTTCTGCTGAGATTGCAGTAGAATCTACTTAGGTAGCTTTCAGGTCAAACTCTGGACTACTGCTTTGATACAACACTGATTCTCACATCAAAGTCCATGAAGTACCAAGTACTGCTGTAGTCAACATTTCAGGGTGGTGTCCCCAGCACCTGAACAAAGCCACACACAAAAAATCACTTTGAGGACCTCAACACCCTCTCCAAGCTTGAGGTTACAAAGAGTCTTAATTTCCAGTAAATAATTAATCTCCCTATGATTAGAGACTTTAGGAGAGGCTTGTAGGTCTTCAAGAAGTACCTCCCGAATCCCTGGAAGATATTAGCTTCTATTTCCAAACAAGAATCTATGGCAGGAATATTGCTTACTAATGGATCTTAGATTCCTTCCACGAGCCCAAGTTCCACTTCTTTGATGGTAAGCACATTAACTTTCCATAATTCCCAGTACGGGGCTCAACGTACAGTGTAAACCTCATAGTACTGGCTGACAGCTCCTAGGCCGAGAATCAGGAGAGCTGAGTTTGAATTCAGTTATCTCCTCTGTGTAACCTTGGGTAAGACCCCGAACCTCCTTTGGATCTTCCAGATGAGGAGCTTCCAGATGAGGATCTGCAGATGGATAGGCATCAGGGAGTTGTAAAATATCCTGGAACTACACCCCAAATTTGGGGAGGCGCTTTTTCTCTGGAGAGAGGGTTTGACCACTCTCATCTGCTTATCAAAGAGATCTGTGGCCCCAGGGAGGTTGAGATCGAGTGACCCAGATGACTACTAAAATTCTTTCCAGTTAAAATGTCTCTGATGTTGAGTGACTTCTGGGTCATGCTAGTCTCCTACATCTTGTTCTTTGGCTCATTCCTTCTCTGACCCTTCACCCCACATCCAGCCACTTGGGTGATGTGCGGAGGGGCTGCAGCACGGAAACAGGAAGTGGCAGTGGTCATGATGTAGTGTAACCAGAAGCCTCAGCTGGAGTGAAACAGTCTAATCTTCATGCTTAGTTTAGGGCATGATCCAGAATTAAGCCAACACTGTTACAAACAGAGGCTTAGCCAGGCCCCCAAGGAAAACAGCAAGACTAACTATTCATTTGGGCTTCCTTAGCGACAGCAGCAACTGCCAGAAACTCTGGTCCAACCACCAGCTCTTTGAAGTGGAAAGAGATCTGCTGAGATAGTTTATGACAAGATGCATCTTGATGTTGATACATTAAGTCAGAGCTCTACCAGGATTGCACCTGACACAGATGTTGTGCACCTTCATGCTCTTGGGAGCTTCTTGGGCAGAATTTGTCCTTTTCTGAGATGGGAGTTGAGTTTGGGAGTCAGTCGTGGTACTTTCCCTATATCCTCTATAATAATGTTCCCATCAGTGGTTAATTTATTGGAGATATACCCACCCACAAATAATCTGTAATGGATTTTAGTGCCAATCTGGTCGATTCTCTTGACCTCCACCCACAACTAGGCAGTGAACACTTAAAAAACAAACTCCTTATAATATGAACTGAGCAATATTACAATGAGAAGGCAGATCTCCTGGGTAAACACTATCTTATACATTCCAAAATGAAAAGGGGGCGATTTTCCCTTTTTTGTAAAGCATCCCTTAATGTAAAGCATTAAGTATCAAGCAGCTTTCAAATCTCCACATACTTTGACCTAGAAAACTTAAGCTTTGAGAATTTATCTTAAGAATCTTAAGTAAAGGAAAAGATTTGTGTACAAAGATTTTTATTGCAACATTAATGAAATGGCAAGAAAGGGAGAGAGAGAAAGCAAACAGCTGAAATATCCCAGGATGGGAGAATGGCCAAGGAAATTATGATAAATCCATTTGATGAACTACTTTGTAGCCATTAATAACTCCATTCTTAAAAAAGATCTTCCCAGGAGGGTAAGCATGGGTGTGGGTGGGATGGAGAAGGGGACATGCCCCATATTTAATACAGACAGATGGTGAGTCACGTGGTCATGACTCAAAAGGGAAAGGTACATTGATAAACATGGAATGTGTTTTAACGGCACACTAGATTTCTTCCT